TATAAGTACTATTTCTGTCATTAAGTCTCTATATATAGCTCGGCTCTTTCATTGCATGTATTTATAATTAATTATCCTCAATATATTATGCAGATTGAAGATCGTCGAGTGCAAAAAACAAGAAATTTATGATATTGGGTTCATTAACACAAATATCATAGATGAATTTCTGGTTAAAAAGGACGTCAAAGAGGCCGAGGACAACTTGCTACGATTGTTGATCAAAAATCAAAACAAAGATACTATACTCTTTCCTTACAACGGCCAGTGAGTGTTACTGTCGTGTGCATATTCGGTTTCCCTTATTACTCGAGCGAGGTTATAGTAATGTAATTGATGAGTTATGCATGCGTGCGCAGGTACCACTATGTTCTTCTGGAGATTAAGCTTGAGCAGGGACTAGTAACCGTCTTAGACTCGAGACGGAAAGATCCCGAAACCTACGCGGACATGACTGAATTGCTCAACAAGTAAGTTCAATCGATCATTATCGCACCATATCGGCAACATTTTGTTCATTTCCTGATATCTCAAGTAATAATAATTATTCTCTTTGTCTTGCAGGGTTTGGAAACAGTTCACCGCAGAAGCTCCGGGATTGCCGAAGGAGCTGCGATATACATACCCGAAAGTAAGTACTACTGGCTAGCTAGTTGCGCGCATCTCCCGTTGATTCTATAGCTATACTTTCATCAATGCCATTTATAATGCTTCATTATCAGTTTGATTGACCTCTATTTCTAGTAAAGTGCTTGTGGAAGTAACAAGGGAATGATTTTTGTGGATACTACGTGTGCGAGTTCATCCACACCGCGACTTTGAAAAACAAGCGGGGCTACTCTAAAAGACAATATGAAGTGCGTAAGCAATAATATTCACAATTTCATTTTATTACACCATCATTTCTGTTGAGTTTCATTCATATATATGTATTAATTAACCCTTTCTTCAAATTAGACGTGGCAGATGCGGAATGAACTCCTAGAACCACATCGCATGAAAGCAATTCAAGAGGAATTGGCGGGATTCTTTCTTGACCACGTCATCAGTAAAGCTGGAGAATACCATGTGGAAGTTGATTTCAAATGCTAGGGGTTTGTAATTAAGAGATCTTATACATATTGTACATGTATGTAGCCAGTAGCGTCGGATACATGATACGAAAACTTGTTGTTCGACCAATCTCTCGGAGAAGGAGAGGTCGATCGATCACTTCTCTCGGTATGCATGACGAACTTCTGTACTGAATGGTTCTCTCGATCACTTATGTATATATAGTACGTAGCGTCGACCAAGCACGGACATAACAGAGGACACTTCTCTCTATTAATTAGCTAGCTAACACAATATATGAAACACCTAAATTAACCCCCCAAAACCCTCAACCCCCCCTCCTTTAAAAAAAAACAAAAACCCCAGCCACTGGAATGTTGACGCGTGGATGCCTTTTGGTCCCGGTTGGAGCCACCAACCGGGACCAAAGGCCCCCTCACTGGGCTCGGCGCACAGGGACACGTGGAGGCACATTGGTCCCGGTTCGTGTTTGAACCGGGACTAATGGGTGGAGGTATTAGTAACGACCCATTAGTCCCGGTTCATGAACCGGGACTAAAGGCCCTTACAAACCGGGACAATTAGGTGTTTTTGTACTAGTGTCTACATGTGGCTCATATATATATGATAGCATTTTTTTTCCATTAGGTCTGTGAGCTACTATATTTTATTCTATGAAATGTTAAGGATAGGAACCAATTCTTTATACAAAAAAGAGTCCATTTCTGAAAAACAAATGGCTCTAAAGTAAATTTTCCTACAGGAACCTCATCCTATGGAATACTGACAAACTTCCTGCAAACCAAACCAGAGGAGGCCTAGGGTGCATGCATACGCTCTTTCTTCCTTTTTTTTCCCCTCTCGACAGAAACGAGCGAGGTTTTTTCTATTTTTAGGCACAGAAACGAGCGAGCTACCGCAGCCAGGCGGCCTCATGGGCCCCTTCCATTTGGCCAACTCCATTATCCGGCCCGACGTGACGTGGACTGCCGTCGCACGTTTGGAAACCCTAACCAGCAGGCTCGTTCATCTTGTGCAAGCAGCGCGCAAGCTTCCATCCACATCCGCCATTATCTTTCGCCCTCGGCAGCTTCCATGCTCGCCCGCGCCGCCCGCTCCGCTGCGGCTGCCGCATCTCGCTTCGCCCGCTTCCATGAACCAGCGGCACTCTCCCTCTCCCTCTCCACCAAGGCCGAATCTCACGCTCCAGCTAGTTCAGATTGTACCGCCTCCGGACATTCAGCCGCCGTCGCTGTCGCCGTGCCTCCCCCCGTCACGGCCGCACCTGCCTCACCGACGGTCAGGCACTTGAAAGGTCGTACGCCTAGATCCAATGCCTCCCTTTGATAGTACTACACCAGGCTCTGCATGCCTATTAAGTTCCAATCCATTCGATATAAGACTACCTTTTCTTTTTCGTGTAGGACAACACATCCTGGGTGTTTTACTTCATAGTTTTAGATAGTACTTCCTCCGTCCCAAAATAAGTGCCTCAAAAGTGACTCAACTTTGTACTAAAGTTAGTACAAAATTGAGTCATTTTTAAGTCACTTATTTTGGGACGGAGGGAGTAGTTTTTTTACCTTTATATCCGACGCCGCGAATTATTTTGCAATTTCACATAAGACTACTTTTCTTGGTTATTATATAGATCAAAAGCCGGAAGGCAGCAGGGTGAAGTTTATGGCGGAGGAGAAGGACCTCGAGTCAGACGAAGCCCTCTGGGCCTTGTATGAGCGCTGGTGCAAGGCTTTCGACCAGGAGCGTGACCGCGAGGAGATGGCTCGCCGGTTCGACACATTCAAGAAGACCGTCCTGGACGTCCAGGATATAAACAAGGCGTACCCATCCCACAAACCGAGGACGATAACCAAATTCGCTGATGGAAAGCTGAGGAGGCCTTGTTGCTCTCGCGATCCGTTTCTTAAAAGGATTGCAGAGGAGCTTGACGACAATCCATGTGAGCTCATAGTAGGTGACGACAACAAACTTTACAAGCGAGTCTTCGCCGATTATAAAGTGGTTGATGACAGATTGTATGTTCATTTGCCTAAGGGGATTGATGTGAAAACCATCACCACAAACCCTGAATGGCCTACTTCAGAATGCTGAGCTGGAAACCATCACCACTCCTTGAATACCCTATTTAATCAGGCATATGATCCATGCGTTTTGGTAGGCTAGTTTAACCTACCAAAACATCTTGTATTTTGAAATTGAGGTATTACTAAGTTGTGCTTCTGCCAAAGTATGCATATGCCAACTTGGTTAGCTGCCCTTGTGCCAAAGAAAGAACACATTTGTACTAAGTTGTGCTAATTTGCCATTGTGTGCGTGCATATGTGTAATAAGTTATACTCCCTCCGTCCCATATGAGTTGTCGCTAAAATTAATGTATCTAAACGTATTTCACTGCTAGATCATCCGTTTGAGCGGCAACTAATATGAGACGGTGGGAGTATATGATTCTATGTAACTCATGAGAGCTTCGTGGCACTCTGTGGATTCCGATGATCTACCATCACCATATGTGTGTCAATAATGTGTTGCGTGATTTCTTGTGCTACGATGGATGGACTATGGCTGATGGGAG